CATCAAATGCTTTTTCCGTTCTCGGGTAGCTCTACAGAAGACATGGCCATTTCAACCAGGGAAATCGACCAAGGAAATAATGAGTTAGAGCGAATGACAGGTTTTCATCACAATGATTTTCTCATCTAATGATTGACATTTTTCGAAAATTTCCGAAATGTGTACATAGCTAAGAAGGTAGTTCAAAGGTTTATCTTCATTAAGAAATGAATGAAATTGTGTTATATGTTTGCGCATTTATTGATTTAGGGCTATAAGTTGTCAAGTTATCACCACTATTCATCCCAAGTACGGGCCGGCAAAGCAAAAGCCGCCGTGCTCGCTGGGCTGGGCTGTGTTTTGAAAGGGAGGACTTAGGGCTACTAGGGAACTGTACGGTTTCGGAGGGAGATTAAGGGGATTACGGTAGGGGAAACAAAAGACGCGCGGTGCCACCGATGACTTCAAAGGGGCCTCATAGAGGCTGTTCACACCGGCAGAGATAGCGCGGTCTAGCGCGCGCTAGACCGCGCTATCTCTGCGGTGTGGAAGGTACAACGTCGTTTCGGTCCGCCCAACAGCGAGCCACGGCGAGCCAACACTGGAGCACCTCTTGGGGGTGGTCCACGAGGGATAGCGCGGTCTAGCGCGCGCTAGACCGCGCTATATCTACCGGTGTGAACCCGAGCTACGATAGCACGCCGGATTTCATCGTTCTACACGCGGGGAATTTTATACTCATTCTATTTTGGTGCGATCTGAATCTGAATCGGTACAATAGGCCATTTTCGTAATGTAACCAAATTTAATGCATAAGTGTTTGTGAGGTGCCTCAATACAAATTATTTCATTCACCTGATAGGAACAATAGTATTTCAATAGTCAGAATGCAACTGCATATATTAAGTGTTGCTATATAGGTAGGTCAAGCCATAATGCTTGTCCAACCTGACAACAACTAATGTATGCAGTTTGGATTCTGTCTATTGAAATACTATTATTCTTATCAGGTGAATGAAATAATTTGTATTGAGGCACTTTACAAAGACGTATGCATTAAATTTGGTTACATTACGAAAATGGCCTATTCAGAACGTCACGCGTCATGACAACAGGACCTCTCAAAAAACTTGGGTGCAGTTAGACCGCGCTATCTCACTGCGGTGTGGATCCGGCGAATGCCAATGGGCGGACCGTGGGTCGCGCTACGATAGCGCGATCCATGGTCCGCCCACGGTCCCCCCTTGCGGTGTGAACACGCCCTTGGACGGGATCTCCATTAATTACAGCTTCTTGGTAGAACGATGATTTTCAGCATGCTATCGTGGCTCGGGTTCACACCGGCAGAGATAGCGCGGTCTAGCGCGCACTAGACCGCGCTATCTTTCATGGACCACCCCCAAGAGGTGCTCCAGTGTTGGCTCGCCGTGGCTCGCTGTTGGGCGGACCGAAACGACGTTGTACCTTCCACACCGCAGAGATAGCGCGGTCTAGCGCGCTAGACCGCGCTATCTGTGCCGGTGTGAACAGCCCCATGGACTGTCGGTCTACTGGAATGTTGTTCTCATGGATTGACGGTCTCCTTTTTAGTCAGACTAAGGGATGTCCAAACAAGAAAGCGTACTCAGTAGAGCTGTGACGTAATAATGGTTGGCTAAATTTGCCTTGACAATCGGGATTGAAAGCATCTTAGATGTCATTTCATGTGATTTAATTTGATCAAATAATCAGTATGATATTTTTACATTTACCTAAATATGGTTCTTTGTTTTAATGAGATTAATAATCAACGCTGAGGTCGATGATTCGTTACTTTTATTCATTGAATAGTCGTTGATAAACATACATCTTCAAGTAGATTTTGAATAGTAATCAACAATGGAACATGTTGATTGATGTTTACCTGTTTGGGTTAGTTAAGATCTTTTCAGCAATAAATATTTACTTGAAATAAAAACAATATTCAAATTTATAAAGCGATTACAAATAATATTTCTAAACGCTGTACTATTTTCATCCCGGCATTAGCCGAGTGGGCCCGGATAAGACGCTCTGGCATTCATGACATTTCTTCCTACCGGATACCCATTTACATCACTGGGGTGGAGAGTGGCAAGAGCAGATTAATTGTTACCAAAATACATTAGTGCCGCGGTGGGACTCAAACTTCATGGGAGACTAAGCATGCCTAAGGGTTGGGTTATATTTTGACCCTCTTTTTATCGAGTTTACGCTTGAAAATATAGACCAGTGACGGATAGGGAGAGGGAGACACCTTGTCGCGTGCCCCCGCTTCCCCGAAAAATAACGATAAAGAGGGGTGTTTTGGGGGCATCTGAAACAATTTAACTTTTGCCCCCCCCCCCACCCCGACCATATCAATCTTGGATTCGCCACAGATAGATACATACTTCAAAATAAACATTTGATACCATTTACAATCTGAATATTCTATTCACTTGACTATTATTAATACATTAACCAAGGCTACCATATTCGCACTAAAAAAACCGAGCCCTCAAGAGTACCGTTGTAAATACTGAAATTGTAGACAGGTGTGGGCAAATATATCGCATCATATTTGTTTCGGGTTAGCTTTCCAATTGAAAGCTCCAACACACACTGTAGATGATAATGTTTTTTACTGATGGACATGTTTGATCACAGCCATGCGCTATGATTAGAAATCGCATTTGATTAACCCGTTGGCTACTGAATTAACTAATTCCTTTAGACTTAACACAGGGACCACCAGGTTCCAGTAAGCAATGACTTAAGTAGTGCATAGTGGCGTTTCGTAAACCGTCATTTGTTCACATTTCAGCGCTCTGCCCCACTTTGCAAGTTTATGTTTACAGAAACATTTTCCATTGTGTCAACAACATAAAAATGTCAGATTTCATGAGCATTTCATGAGCAAATAGTGCTCTGCCTGTCTGTAAATGTTCGTCTTGGCACTAACAAAACTCGAACTTAAACAAACAGGCAGTCGGGTATAAAACAATTTCCAGATCTCTTTATCATGTTTATAATAAGAAAACACCAGACAAATGGATATTAATAAATATTATGATTATAGTGAGCTCATGTATAGCTCTCATTGTCTGTCTCATGGCATTCTACTATTAATACCCTTGCTTTAGCATGGCTGTCATTATGGCGCTCTAGCATTTCTAGGAATTAAATCCTGCCAGGTACTCATTTACCTCAGACGGATCGAGTGTTGCAAATGTATATTAATGCCTTAATTAATAATAATAATATAGTATTTAATATAAGTATTTGTAATGCGCCAACTCCACATGGCTAATGTGTTCGAGGCGCACAGAGAAGAAAAATTATAAAGACACAAAAATACACACAAAAATGAACAACAACAATGTGAAAGTAAATCTAAATCTAAATCTACTGGAAAGCCGCCTCGAGGCTCGAACCACGAACCTTATGATGCATAGTACAGCGACTTATCCACTAGACCACGACATCTCTAGATTACAGATTTTAAGAAATGTTCTTCAAGTTGGCTTGGTAAACATATGATATTTCTCCCAAATGTCGTTAAACATGACGCGTACCCGTTTATGCGCCAATTTCGACATGTTCACGAATATAAATTAGCTTTAAAATGAGTAAACCAAATCTTCATACGTAATCAAGAATGTTTTCAAGAGTCTTGAATTAGATGGGAATACGTTCATGACGTTGGTGATTTTGGTGTGTTAGTTTTTTTTTCTTTCTGTTTTTCTTATATTTCATTTAATATGTTCCTCTTTGAAATATTAACAATTTGATGAAAAGCTGTACAAAAAGAAAGATTTGAGTTCTGGTATAATGATATAGCATTGCTTTTGTTCTGTCTAGTTGTTGGTTTTTTGGTATTATTGTTGTTGTTTTTCTTTTTCTTTCTCAAATTGAGATCTAGCTTCTACACCATTTTTAAAACATACATTCTTGTCAAATATTGAGCAAGCAATACAAAATTAATAAAACAGCCATGCAAGGAAAAGGGAATAGAAATATTTTAGAAAGAAAAAAGAAAAGTTAAAATATCATTGAAAAGTTGTGAGGGCAACGTATTATGTTATTTGTTCTAATTATCAGTTGTAGTGGATTTTTCTTGGGTTGATTCCTTTAAACAAAAACCCAGGAAGTTACTCAACGATGGACGCACCAATATTACAATAATAAGGAAGTGAAACTGCAAGGTATCACGTACATGTTGTGAGATACAGTGGTGTGTGTATTTGGTATAAACGACACGTTTGCCAAAAGGATTAGCCCCGCGAATAAAGAGATTAAATATTCATAAACCTTTTATGTAACTCACAAACACTGATCTGCAATAAGAAAATGCTACTCAAAATTGTCAAATTTCCTTTTAACTGTTGAATGTAAACAGAACATAATTATGTTTGACAAGAGACCTTGATAATGTTTGTTCTTCAAATGCCATTTGAAGTTTATAGTGAGAAACTAATTGCAAGCTAGACGACTTTGAAGGGTGATTTTTTGCAATTAAGGGAGTATGTGGTGGCCATGCCATGACCGGCATGTGACATACGGACGCAAAAGAGCAAAGAACTCCGTGTATCGGGAAGCAAGGAAGGTTAAATTTTTTGTCATGCAATCAATATTTCTGCGCGGTCCGCACTTACTGAACATGGGCTAGCATTTCATCCGTCAATTTCAGGGTAAATTTTCTCCACTCCTGGTTGGACAATATTTTCATTTCCAGCTTAAAGTGACGCGGCTGCTTCACTAATGCTTCACTAATGCCCTCGTTTCTGTTCATTCGGATAAGATTGAAGCTTTATAACCCAAGTCACCTGTATTCCACAACCATTGCAGACGAACTACCTGCTGAGAAACCATAGTTTATACTAATCAATCTTACGTCCAACGGAAGACCTTGAGACGAAATCATTGCTCTTGATTTTCGACCAACATCCAAAACTCTCGAACTCTTGCACTTTTTCTTAGCCTCTGCCGTAATTCTCTGACAAACATGTGGTATTCTCCAGGTTCAGTTATTCTCATTGGAATCATCGCAGTCACCGTCATCGGAAACGTTTTCGTCGTAGTCGCTTTCTTCCGTGATGCCCGCATTCGATCCACGGCGGCCAACTTCTTCATCCTGAACCTAGCTATCACAGACCTTTCTGTAGGTACTGTAGTCATGACCATGAATCTTGCTGATATCATCAAAGACCACTGGCCATTCGGAGAGACCTTCTGCAAGCTTTGGTCCACCTTTGAATTCACGCTAACTCTGATGTCCACCATCACTATGCTCCTGATCAGCTGGGACCGTTACTGTCTCCTGACGATGGGTATTGGTTACAAGACCTACCAGACGCAAAAGCGCATCGGAGCAGTACTTTCTTTTTTTTGGATGGCTTGCCTGGTCTTCTACGGAACCCTAGCATTTGGCTGGAAAGGTCTGTTCGGAAAGGGAAAGAGCACCATTGACTATTCGACGCAGTGTGAGATGGAATTTTTGACCAATGTCAATGCAACTGTCGTGGTCAATGTCATAGAATTCGTGATTCCATTCACACTCCTTCTAATTCTTAACGTACTCGTTTACATCAGAATAAGACGGAGATCTGTTGGAGTTATTGGAGATAGTCAAAACAACCGCCAAACTGTAAAACCTCGAAATAGTGACATAACAATACCCGTTTGTGTACCTGAAACTGAAGGAAATAGATCTGTTCGCGAGGGTGTAAAGATCTGCTTCTCTATCAGTACAATAGCTGTTTCACCAAAGCATAGTTCTTCTAAGGAACCATATGGAGACAATGGAGGCCATCACGAGGATACATCAGCTCGACACGTCTTGAAAGACTCAAAGAGTCGCCTTTTCAGAAGTATGCAGTCCTCGGTTATAAATGGTAATGTTGGGGTCAGAACTTCTTCCCTTCACCAGCCAGTCGTAGGCAAAGATCAAACAAATGGTAGATCAGCAGCTACCAAGACAAAAGGAGCCCTCTCCAAACATCGGAAAGCTGCACTAGTTCTCACCATTCTCAGTTGTTGTTATTTCCTTTGTTATACACCGTACAACATATGCAGCATTGTATATGCCATTTGCAAATTTGAATGCGAGAATAAACTCGTCTGGGAAGTTACGTCGTACCTCTTATGGTGTAACTCAGCAATTAACCCTTTCATCTATGCAGCCACCAATGTTCACTTCAGAAGGAACTTCAGAAGGTTCTTGTTTTTGGACAGGTGGAGTTGCGATGTGAATACCTGTAAGGTCAAAGGTCATCGGGGTAACCCTGACACGCCGTTAATCGCTGAAACAGAACATGAAACTCGACAGTAACTTGGGGATGAAAAAGCCTATGCCACACAAGTAATTTTCCTTTGTCACATGTTATTTATCAATGTAGATATAACAAAAGTTTCGAGAATGTTCAGCTGTTACCAGTACAAGATTAACCAATACCAATATCATGGTCCCAATCGGGACCAGAAATGGGTAAATTGCACAATCTTTCTGTCAATTGGTGCCTACTGCATGTGTTATGGAAAATTGCACATGTGGCAAACAAGCTACAGTCCAGTGAGGCGGAGAAAGCAATCGAAACGGTATTAAGCCACACGCACACGAAAAAAACAACGGATGAGGTGCACTTTTGACTTTGGAGCAAAATGGTATTCGGAATTATTTATGATCTATGACGAGATGTCGTGGTCCAGCGGATACGTCACTGGACTGTTGATGACATGGTTCGCGGTTCGAGAGGGGGGATTACTACAATGATAATACTAAAATACGCAAGTTAAGTTTCTAACATTTGCTACGTTGGAGTTACATTTTTTTACCCAATTCAGCCTTATACCAAATAAGGGATATTGTATTTTTGAAGGGAAACGTAGCTTTATTTCTGAAGGAAAGCTGGACAAATCAGAATGGCAAATTGAAAGTAGTTTGAACGAAATCAGAAACGAAAAGTAATGTTGACTGAAGTGTTAATTAAACAGATAGGACATAAGTATTGTCTAGTCGTTATCCACTTTGAGGCGCCGTCGGATAACTGGCTCATCTGCCATCACATTAAAAAAAAAATTACGAGCTTTATTAAGGAGGGGGGGGGGGGGGGGGGAGTAACAAGAACCGGGATAATGTTTCAGTGAATGACATAGTGTCAACGTAATTATCAGAATATAGGTCACATTGAGATTTCCATTTGTGGAGTGAGTACAAGGTATTTGATTTAAAAAAACACTCGTTAGTTTGTAAACAGGTGTGGGCAAATATATCGCATCATATTTGTTTCGGGTTAGCTTTCCGATTGCAAGCTCAAACACTGTAGGGGGTAATATTTTTATTTTTAGTCCAATGTGTTTCATAATTCATCAGTATGCTTTCTGATTTTTTATTTTTTATTTATCGTATTACACTTGTTAGACAAATTTAATATCACATTTATCTTTATTCAGAGAAATACCAAATATCATTTTGGTATACATTCACTTTTTTTATTTATCGTATTACACTTGTTAGACAAATTTAATATCACATTTATCTTTATTCAGAGAAATACCAAATATCATTTGGAACTTGGGAGAACCTAACAGGAGTGTCTTTTGGAGTCTGCTGGTGGCTGGAAACTACTTTTTTATCAACTTTTCTGTGAGACCGTTTTCATGTTTTGGAACCCTTTTTTTGATTGCTGGTCCCATATACCCGTTTTTCTTGTTGGATTTACCCATCTTGGCACTCGCTATTTCTTCTGGTTGGCAGATTGGCTAAGATTATACACAACAATACCAACGGATTCCCCCAGCTATTGTTTGCTGGTCATGACTTGCAGTGACTCATCAATCTGGGACTAATCTGACTCCCATTCCAGCTCTATTCTTCTATTGAACTATACCATCCATCATGGCAGGCTCAACAGGCAATGCTACAACAAGATCACAGACAAAGAACTCCCCCATTGTCAGGGAGGTAATCACGGACTTATTTAAAAGTGAGGCCTTCATTGCCCTGGTAGAGCATTCTGTAGATAAACGAATTCGTTCCATGGAAGAAGTGATTGTCAAACAAGAAGCCCTCATCATGGATCTCCAGTGTTAAAAAATTATCGACCAATATCTTTGTTACCTTGTATATCTAAATTACTAGAAAAATGTGTTTATAATCGATTGTATAGTTTTCTTTCTAAACATAATATACTTACTGATTGTCAATTTGGATTTCGACGTAATCATTCCACAACCCATGCTTTAATTGATTTGCAGGATAAAGTGACTTTAGCAATGGAAAAAAATAATTTTTGTATCGGAATATTTATGGATTTATCAAAAGCATTTGATATAGTTGATCATTCAATTCTCTTGTCCAAATTGAACTTTTATGGTGTACGTGGAAACCCTCTTAATTTTTTTAAAAGTTATTTATGCAATCGACGTCAATTTACTATGTATAATAATAATGCTTCTGATTTTGCAGACATAACACACGGAGTTCCTCAGGGATCTATACTTGGCCCTTTGCTTTTTTTGATATATATTAATGACTTAATTCAATCTTCTCATATCATGCAGTATATTATGTATGCAGATGACACAACTCTTATTTTTTCACAACCTGATTTAAATAATGTAGAGCACGAGGTCAACAAAGAATTAGACAAGGTTTCAACTTGGTTCAAAGCTAATAAATTGATAGTAAATCTTTCTAAAACAAACTTTTGTATATTTCACAATAAGAGTAAAAATGTTTCCAATGTACTAGATAAGGTAACTTTAAATATTGATACTACATCTATATCAAAATTAAATGTTGTAAATTTCCTTGGAGTATCCGTAGATAACAACCTTCGTTGGGATTCCCACATCGATAATGTTATAAGCAAGGTATCAAAATCTATTGGTGTTTTATATAAATTAAAATTTCATGTACCATTTCCCATTTTATTCACTTTGTACAACTCACTTATATTACCTTATCTTACATATTGTATAAGTATTTGGGGAAATTCGTGTCATGGAAAAATTAATACCCTCTTCAAATTACAAAAGAAGGCTCTACGTATTTGTACAGGTAGTGATTATTATGCCCACTCTGCTCCGTTATTTCTTCGTTTAAAAACCCTAAATGTTTTTGATTTGTTCAAATACCATACTGCACTAATTGGTTTTTATTTTTTTCAAAATATACTTCCAAAAAGAATATCCTCCATATTTTCGATCAATAACCAAATTCATACTCACAATACTCGGCTTTGTAACACGTTTCATTTATGGAAAGTAAAAAGTTCATTTTCTAAAAAATCAGTAAGAAATACTTTGCCAAACATATGGAACACTCTTCCTCAAGTCCTCCGCTTTTATAAAAACAGTTCAATATTTAAAACAAAAATGAAACAGACCTTTTATTCTGAGTACCGTTAAATTTACCTTCCAAACCTTTTTGCCCCCCCCCCCCCGCCTCCAATTTTAGATTATTTCATACATATGTTTGTAGTTTTTTGTCTTTATATTGTATTTATTGCTGTATTTTGTGTTATCGCTATATGTTGTGATATCTCGAACTCATATATGCTCAATAATATAAATAATATAAATTATAATATTCGGGGAACTTTTTATACAAAGCCACCATGGGCCTTTCCTATGTTCTCCAATTTCATTTTAAACTATTGTAATAACTGACCATTCCTTGTATGTATTTATACTTGTATGTTTATTTGCATTTGCTGTGTTTTTATGGAAATGAAATAAATAAACGAACTTGAACTTGAACTTGTAAGCTAGGACATTAACTTGATTCTTAAAATAATTGTTATATAGCATTATATACCTCACATTGGTCGAAATTGCAGTCGTGGTTTTAGCCATTCCCGTAAATAAACGAAAAATACTAAACCTATGTAATAGTTCTAGCGTAAATCAGTAAAATCCCGGCAAAATTCCAGTTTATACCGGGAAAATAGTTCAATCTTGCTGAAATACCCATTGGTTCATGTGTTAAAATCTGGTTTGAGCGAGCGCGGATACCAAACATTGTGTGTATGTGAATCGGTCGCTAGCTTATTTTTTAGATTTGTTAAACGAGGCCTATGTCGATCGTACTACTAAATCCGGCCTAGATTCTTCTTAAAGTCTCCAAACCAGGCAAAAATGGCTAAAGAAACTCTTTCTAGATTTCAACTTCTTGATGATGATCAATTGCAAGACTTAATAATTTATAATTGAATTGAAATTGAAATTGAAATTGTTTAATTCTGCTGACAGCAAGAACACCAAAAGGGTAATAGAAAAAGTTAACATCATTCTTCTAAAAAAACTTTACTGATCTCCCTAAAGAGTCACATAGATTGATCGATAAAGATAGGTCTGATAAGATATCAACTTTATCTATCAAGAATAAATCGTATAGTCAAAACAGTGTACCTAAAAGTGTCTTCATTACAATTCTCGCCCATTTTTTTCTTTCAGGTAATGAAAAGAGTGGAATGGATCACCCCTCATACGACATCTATTACAATATACAAACACGAACGGTCACTATTTAATTGCGCTTTCCATCATAATGTTATTTGAGAAATTGATTTTGTGAGTTTACCAAGCCTCTACAGGCGCCCTCTGTGTCAAGATACTTCTCATGAAGAATGACTCAATCAATACATTTTGCAGAAATTGGAGAGACATTACAAATTTTGTTCATAACCTTTCAATGTACCTTTCCATTTGAGTATGAATGCAGCAATACTCTAAGACAGCACACGTATGCACAATTTCCATAACAACAGCAACAACAACGAAAACAATCATTATTATAGAGGGCACAGATGGCGCTGTTGGTAAAGGGCGACCAGAGCCATCTGTATAAAGAGTTTCGCCAACGCGGTTCAGTTGGACACGGCAAATGTTGGTTTGTTTGCCCAATACAAACGCAAATTATATCTGTTATATTAAGAGGAAATGAAAGCGAGTTGGCCAAACTATGTGTTTGGATATAGTGATGGTTGTAATGGGTAACGGCCCAGTAATAGCTAAGAATGATGTTTTGTTACAATTGGGGAACATATCTTGCTGGAGTATATAATTGACCCGACGATAACCCCTCTTATTGGCATAATTATTGCATCCGTCGGCACCTAAAAGATTGAAATATTACATCTTTTTAGCACCTTTGTTGCAGCATGGGGTTGTTACCGTTCCCCTCAGTTAACATCGCAATAACAATGATTTATATCCCAGCGCTTAAGTTTCACTTGTTATGTCAAACTAGCAAAGAGCAGAATTGAATTGGAATAGGGACGTGAAAGAATTTGACACACTCATGAATTGCCCGTGACCTTGCCAGCCATAAAGATCTATATCATATGCATTTCAAGACCTCTTGTATAACGTATACTATTTTTTCAACCGCGACAGGTCCATTGTAGGACACATTATTGTTTCACTTGTTAAGCTGCACGTATACTTCGAATATAAACACTTGAAATATTCTTCAAAGTTCAATGTTCAAAGCTAAATAATGCTATAAAAGAATGGAAATAAAATGAAAAAATAAAGTCAATTAAGATGAAGGAATTTACTACATGTATTACCTGTGCATATTTAGTTGATTATTGTATAGCCGAAGACAGACAAGGAGTTATATCTAATTCCTTAAAAAGTGCAACATACATGTATGTTCTCCTAATCTTTGGTGTGATGATGTTGTGTTACCGGTTAAACAAGTTCGAATTTAATTTAGTTGAATGCATACATACTGTCATGTGTTATAGGACAATCACCCCTGGCCAATTACCAGCGGGACAATTACCCCCGGAAAATTTGGTTCCAGAAAATCACCCCCTGAGGCTACCACCCCAAAGGACAATCACCCCCTTGAAAATTACTCCAAATACAATTACCCCCCCCCCTCCCCCTAGGACAATTACCCCCACCCCTCTGAAAATAACCCCCTTTGAGAATCATCCCCCCCCGAGGATAATCCCCCCCCCCGTAAAAATAAGCTTTTATTAAAAGCTTTTATTAAAACCAACTTGTTATCAGTGTAAACTTCCTCTTTAATGAAAAGGGATAATTGTCCTAGGGGGGAGTTTCCGGGATCTCGTTTTACGGGGCTGATTGTCCAGGCCCCAGGGAGCAATTGTCCGGATACTATGTTCCGAAGAAGTATGCTCATGATTTGATATGGTTGTACATGATGCCAAGAATGTAACAACCAACTACTCACGCCTGTAAAATATTCACCTGTCATTATATCTAGCTCAGCGAAACGTTGTGGCACTAAAAGATTCGTCCAGAACACAAACTCCATAACTTTTGAAAATCTTATTTGTATCACATTAAGGTAGAACCACATAATTAGGAGCTGGTATGTGCATATACCATCTCAATGTTAGCTAAACGTTCTTCAGATATGTTCCCCCCAAAATAAAAGAAAAACTTTAAATTAACAAACTTCTCTTACTTATTCATTTGCGCTCCGGACGCGTCTTTGTGGGTCACTACATTTCGCTATTAGCTATGTGGGAAGTTAGACTTTTAATCGAAAGCTCTTTGTTACATCTGACTGAAGGGACATTCGTTGTTTTCAATAAAGTTGTTTTCTAGCTTAAAACATATTTCTTTGTGAGGCTATCTTTATGAAGAGAGGTACGTGCACAGCGATAACACCGCACTCCCCACCTTATCTAAATTATTTGTCTACCTGTCCAAGGCTCGTAAAGATGGAGCTATTTTTAGACAATCCACAATCGTAGACATTGTCTTTAGAATGCCTGACATGATTATATCAAATTACATAATTATTGCTTTACTCTTCGATC